TATTCCGCACGAAGGTCAAGGACCGAACGTGGATACAAGCGCATTATAGTCGCCCTTTGAGCAGCCTCCAACTGCTGCTCTTGTGACTCGTCGAGGTGATTGGTAATGACAGCACTTGCCCCGGAAGTCAGAGGTCGGGGAACGGAAATGGTATCCGCAAGGTTCGAGCAGGGCTCACGTCACGCCGTGGTGCAACTCGCCCTCCTCTTCTTCCCATCCCGAAAAAGGAGTATTCGACTCGTTGTCAACTTCCTCCAAAATCCACAGCGAAGAATCCGTCGCCCGGGGCGGACGCGGTGTGCATCGCCCGGTTGTCGAGGGCTCGGGATGCGCTTCCCGTGAAGCCGCGGACGTATTGTCCGGGTATGCACCTCGTGCAGAAGACGAAGAAGGGCTCTGCCCACAGGCGCTCCCGAAACAAGCGAGACTGGGTGATTTTCGTGTCATAGACACAGGGCTTATTGAGCAGAGAATGCGAAGAAGGCCCTGGGGGCGTAAAGGTGTCTAAGACACGCGAGCCTCGTATGAGGCGACAGTTAAACGTGGATTGTGGGTATTCACAATTTTGACGAGGGAGAGTGTAACGGGGTTACACGTACCCTGGTCTGAAAGGTCAGGTCACACAAGATGGTGTGAACACACAATGGTGTACCTTGACAATGAGCCACTACGTGGCAGGACTGCCAGTGGTTATGCATATTAGTTAGGTTTTACTATTTCATCAGAAAACCTATAGATTTAGAAATTGGCGGCTCTGACGCAAACCAAACAAAAAAGAACAGTTTTGGCTTTTGATTGGAGGAGTGTACTTGCCTTGGTTAAGGTTGTGCGTACTCTTGGAGGTAACGAATTGCGATCCACTATACGCGTAATGGAACTAGTATAAGACGTAAGGTCTGTGATCTTAGCTTAGCTTCATTTAAGCAAAGAGCTACGCAGCTTTGATGCAGAACCCGCAAGGATAAATCATTGTAGATTGACCAGTGCCTCTGTTCCGAAAGATCTTGAGAAAGTGGCTCTTACTTGCATAAGTAGAATGCAAATTATACAACCACTCACAAATCTTCTTGCAAAGAAGGTGAAATGGTGATGATAGTGTACGGCAAAGAGGCAGTATTTATGGCTAAAACGAAAGCCTTATGTGTGCCGCGGTTTTGGATTTGCCGAATTCAGATTAGCAATTTCATGTCGTTTGGCACGCTTTCGCCTTTCCATGGACTGTGTTTTACTCCAAGCCGATGCCAAAGGGCATGAATGCGTGATCGCGCTAGAGTCTCCCCGGGTAAATGTGGCAGATAGAAACTATGCTGTCCATGACAAGGAGCTACTTGCAAAGAAATATGCTCTCGTTGGATTCAGGGTACAACTTCTTGACTGAGCCATCTGTGATCTATACAGATCATACGCCGTTGTGCACAGCAACGTCGTAACCACATCTCTCACAGAGAATAGCAAGATGGATATTCTTATGTGCCGAGTATACGTTTGATATTAGGAATTAGCCGGGTCCGCTAATGTTGGGTATCAGTACGTCTTCGCTTTTGAGTTATATCGAATATCAAATATCAAGTTATCTCCAGAAAAGTGTATTGCAGATATACTTGACTGTAAATCACAACAATACAGCCAGCCACATTCCTGAAAGTTTGCTAATACCAACGATTGTTAAGCGCGAACATTTTGCAACTATTTATGAGCGACCGAGGATTGACGCTAGCTAGAAATGATGAAAATGAACAGTGGACGATCACGGTATAAATAGGTACGAGAACAGTTAGTTAGTTCTTGTCTTACGTGCTTAGAGAGAGCAATAATGCTGTACCCCGTCGGGTCCAGAATTCTGGAGTCTTGCCGGGTCCTACCTTGAGATCAACGGCAATTATAAATGAAGGACGTTCACGCGTTCCCGTTCGCAACGGATACATGTAAAGTGGACAGGTATACATCCCCTTGGCAAACTTCTTTTTGGCCTCCACAGGACGAAAATGTAAAATAGGCATTTCACAGTGCAGCTGCATTGGGTGTGGTTCTGTGAGACAATCGTGGTCGAAGTCCCAGCGCGCACCCTCGAGGATCAGTCCTTTGATATACGCGCCATCTTTGGGGCCTGTATTCAAAACGTTTTCGCTCTGATTCAGAATAATAAACTCCCAATTCAATGAGTCAATTGCCAATCCGTTTTTTCGAGCTGCTGTTTGCAAAAGTGCAGTGAGGAAACCAGTTGGATAAGTCAATCCTGCAAGCCAAAATACAGTTGGCTGAGCTTGATTGGCCCATCTATCCATTTGTTCACAGCGGAGTTTGAGGTCTTGAGTCCACGGACCTAATGGCTTGAGTGAAGGGTAGCAAAAACTCCAGGCTTGAGGCAATGTACCGTTGAGCAGTGCATTGTACACAGCTTCAAGTTCCGGGGTTATGACGACGGAGCCTTGGATGCCTTTCTCCAGCGCACATGCTGACATATTAATTACATACAGTAACTTATTGTAGCGGTCAAGCTCCTGCACAAGAATTGTTTTGAGTGCATCCGGGTCACTACGTGGGGCTAAATTCGCCTTGATGTTTGCAAGATCAAAGTGATGAGGAAGGTTTTCTCGTAGCGTTTGTAAAATTCCCAATACCGTGTCATCGTTGTCACTGCCTCCCTCAGCGAAGTCTTGTGCCTGCAGTGATAAAATCGTTGCGAGCAATTCTCGTCCATCGTCGATCTGAGACGCAATCTCAGCGTTCGGGTGTTGCCCAAAAGCTACGGGGGGATCATTTAGTGGCAATTGAAGAATATAATTCTTATAAGAGGACAATTCGCCGTCATCTGGCACAAAATAATGATCGGATTCAGACAGGGGGATCTTGTCGACAGTGAGTACATTTTCTGAGAAGAATTGGGAAATATACACGAGCATGAGGCGACGGTCCCAGTCATCTGTCACTCGTCCGCCATAGTTTGCCTGAGCAATGAGATATTTTAGTGCATCCCATGGCGTATCTTCGTATTCGTCCAGATAAATTGCGAGTACGTCCTCACTGATGGCAAAGTCAGACTCATTAAAATCATATGGAATATTCCAACCCAAATTATTGAACTTGCGTCGCTCGAGTAGCAGCGAGTGAAACCAACACAAGCAGAAAAGTAAGCGCTTGTACTTTTTCACTTTTTGACATCGCGCAAATTTTTCTGGCGTGATTGTATTGTACAATCGGATTAAGTTGGCTTTCAAGCCACGTGGTGGTTCGGTCGTCATCTTGATGCTACGCTGCAAAATTGCAATAGGGAATTTGGATGTAGGGTTACTGGATAGCCACAACCGAAAGTGTGGATTGATGGGACCTGTAGGAGCGGAAGCTGCGGAACAAAACTTTTCAATGAGATCGTCTAATATTGTTGTCCAGCTTAGCATCAAGTGACAGTTAGCGAGAAAAATCCAGTTTCCAGATTCTAGACCACGGGCTAGCATGGCCTCCGCCACGCTTGCCTGACCTTGACCAAGTGCACAATTCTCGACTGTTTTATGCAACGATTCAGCTAGAGCAAGTAGCGAATTGGTGGGATCTACACCAGGCGATAAAACAAAGATGAGTGGCGTCTTGTAGCTGGAAGTCTCGTAAATTGCCTTGAGGTCAAATGGTGGTGGGTCCACAAATCGAGCTCCGAGGTGCATCGCCGCGAATCTAGCAGCCTGAATACCGAGTCGATCTGGTCTAACGCAACGCAGCAGCAGCAACCTTTGTAGCTCAGTACATTTACCTTCCCAATCTCCAGGCAAAACCTCGATTTCGGGGGCACTACTCTGATACCAAGACTTCCACCCTTTGAGTGATTGTTCAATAGAGCTGGTGATTCCTTGAAATGCTGACAACTTGTTCAGCTCTACAATTCTCGCCCATGCACTATCGGATAAAAACTCAGTTGCAATATTTGGACATTTCTCTGCTTGCGTGAGCGGATTACTGCCTTTAAGCAAGAAATCATATTCATCGCGAGGAAGTTTGTTAAGGCTCTGAAGAACCCGAGCACACATTTGCATTGAAAAGAGTAGTTTGTGGCGCTCGAAGAGTCCGCGACAGGCGTAGGCATACACGGCATAAGTATGGTGTTCGTTAATGGCATTTATCCGTTCGGTAAGTTCTTCGCTTAGTGCACCTTGGTTTTTCAAATTTCGACTTTTGACAATGGAGCTTTGAAAAAGAGCGACATATGCGTCAAGTGAAAATTGATACATTGGGTCGACACTTGTCATGTCATTCAGCACAAAATACAATGTGGATGAGCGTCGTGCTACACGTACGTATCCCATTCGAGCAGCATCAATCTTTTTCTCAGTCTCTTCACTTACCTTTAGCTGCAAAAATACCTCCTCAGATGTTGCCTTCGATGCATTCAACGTTGTCACAAGCTGTTCATCGTCCAGTAGCGAGCCTTTGGCAGCCGATAGAAGACGTAAGATTTCATTTTCAAGATCAATGAGCTTCTTTTTGGCTGCGGCCACACACGTGACGAGATCGGATTTTTGCGCTTCGAGTGCTGGCTCTTCTAGCTGGATGGCAATGCCAAGCAATTGAGCCTCGAGTCCCTGCTCCTTTACCACATAATTTACGATCGTTGTCTTCGTCGATATTTCGGGCGTATAGTGAGGATTTGGAAGCTTAGTTGTCAAAAAAAAACGAAATTCGCGGTTGTAATCTAGCTCCTTGTCGCCTAATCGAAGTACCTCGCGATTACCGACGTTCACGATACTCTTCTTTAGAATAGGCTCAAGGCTAGGATCTAGCTCCTCCAAAATGTCCTGCATTAGAACAGGCAAGCCAAAACTAATGCCATTTCCTAGCTTTCTTAGTAAATCTTTCATCATGGGATTCACGACCAAAAGCTGCGATCCCTCCAATGATTTGATCCACTTATTAGCCTGTCCTTGAGGATCAATCATCAGAGGCCATCGCTTGCTTCGCATTGTGATAACACCATTTTCAGTAGAAAGTGAATCATTAGGAAGGCCGTGCACATTCCAGTTACGCACATCTATTGGATCAGCTAAAAAGTCAATAAACGTAAATTTAGAAGACAGTGGTAGAGCTTGTTGGGTTACACGATTCATCCATGTGTCAACAAGTGAAACACGATAGAGCGTGTCGAATGGCCCTGCGTATGATATGAAAGCTGCGGCGACGAGTGCATCTCCAATTACATTAGAAAGACTGGCATCCTTTTCGGCGATCGAGCTCACCCATCGTTCGCGTTCTCCAGCCAGTCCCTTTACCAGCTGCTCAGCGCGCGAGAGCTTCAACTCCAACAGCTCAGCCTCTTCACGCAATGCATTTTTCTCTGATACGCTAGTATCATACTGTTTCTTTAACGTCTCGACTTTTTCTATGACCTCCTGGAGCGACTCTTTTGCGGCTTGAAGATCCTTCTGTTTGACAGCTAGTGCCTGCTGTGATCTGCGCAGCACATCTTTCTTTGGAGCAACAACACGAAAGACCCCAGCATAGCATTCCATCGCCAAAACCCACGAGCAGAGTGCTCCAGCAGCTGACGATACTTTTCGCACTGCATCGGAATTAAAAGCTGGCTTCGTCGTGTATTTTTTCAAAGCTGTCACTGTTTTGTCGCGAATCGAGTCCTTGTCGAATGTCTTGATTTGCTGTAAGAAGCTCACATCGTTCATCTTGGTTTTCGCAGACGCCCAAGTAGGCGGTAAGCCAAAAAGAATCATAACTGCACACATGACCATTGACACTGCTTCGGGGGGTTGAGTGTACACCTTTACCTCTGCAATCGCCTTTTTGTCCAGATTTTCCACCTCCATCATTGCATGTTGTAAGGCAGGAAGTGCCTCATTTAAGTCCTTTTCAGCATCGTCAGCAATCTTTTTTGTCTCAGCTTCTTCCTTCGAAATACGCTCACTGTCAGATTCTACCTGTTTCTTCTGTTCGTCAGCAACACGACGCTCAGACACGATGACTACCAGCAAATTACTGCAGTCTTTATTCTTCTGGGCAACTACAACTTTACGTTGCTCTAACTGTTTGGACATTTCTTCAACTTGCAATCGAGATTCCTCGAGCTTCGCGAGGCCATTTTTCAGTTTATCGCGTGTATCGCGGATAGTTGCTGCCTTTTCTGAAAGCAGCTCTACATATCCCGTGACAAGAGATAGATAGTTGGTAGGCGTCACATAATTGTGTCGCTTCATACGAATTTTCATTTGTGATGATGCCAGCATTACACTACTATGCACCACAGCAAACACAGCAGCGATTTTGGGGCGCTGGACTTCTGTACCGGTACTTTTTTCTTCAAGAAACTTCATTCCTACTTCCTGTAGCGCATCTAGAGGCCACTCATCAAACCAATCAATGCTGGTGTTGTTGACGAGGGATGGAAATTGTCGGCATCGACTGCGAAAGCCAGTACCAATGGGACTCAAGGCTAATACAACGTGTAGATCACGACGAACCTCGTTGATAAAGAAATTCCAGATCGAATCTTTTGTCTCGCGTACACCCTGAGCTCGTGCTCGTAGCCGGACACCGTCCACAATACCGGCTTGCTCGTCCTTTTCAAATAGTCCTGGTATTTCCCCACTGCTCAAGATATTGTTCAGATCCTCGATGAATGATTCATTTTTGATCTGTGTGTCACTGAAAAAAAATACCGTTTTTTGTTGCTGCAAGCCAACTTGAGTGTATAATTTTTTTATATCCTCATGAAACTCAAAGCTGCGATAATTTTTGCCCACTTCGATCTGGAAAACTTTAAGGCCACCCATAAAAGCTGCAAGCTTTGTCAGCGATTGTCGACCACTGCCACCGACACCAACAAGAAGGAGACTGCCACGCATCGTCATGAGCTGGCGATGAATGCGTAGGATATGCAAAAGTGCATCGCTAAACAGAACAAGATTCATGGGAATGAATCCTGGTTCGGCGTTGTAATTTTCCAATTGCTCTTCTACAAACTTTTTAAGCAGCTTCATATCCATGACCTCCGTGTATTGTGCACTGGCTTCTACAGCGCCTAATGTGGCGGAAATGTACGAAAACAAAGGTCCGCTGTCCTTCACTTGGTCTGGTGCTACAGCGAGCAAACGACCCCAGTCTGTCTGAAAATGTAGCCCGAGAAGGTCATTGATCGTCATTTTAAAAGACTGACGATCATTAACACTAGTAAGACGGTCAGAGAATACTCGGAGGTTTTCGTGCAGCCAAAGTCGCAGCATGCCGTCGCGGCTTGTTATCGAGTACTTTTCTGACAGAAGTAAACCCTGAATTACTCGGGCTATATCGCGCAGGTTAAATAAGTAGTGACAATTTGCTGGTGTAGGTAAGAATGCTTCCACTACATTCTGGTAAAGCTGAATGGTTGCAGCGACGAGGGGTCCGCCAAGCAGCTTGATTTCGTTGTCAAACTCGGCGAGTTTAGGCACGAGCATGGTCTCGAAGATACGCTTGAGCTGCGCTTGTTCAGGAATTGTTACATTGATGAGATTGAATCGACTCTGAAAACGCGAGCAGATAACAGACCGGCCACCGCCTGGAGGACCCATGGCAGTGACAAGCTGCATATCATGAAAATACCTTATTGTTTGTTTTTTGCGGTCGTACCAACAGCTATAATCGATCCACTGTCGAAGCAATTCAAGAGGTGGCTGAGATCCAAACAAGTCCTTCGTCGGCATATTCATGTCATCAATAAACGTTATGAGTTTTTTGCCCCCCACGGGTCCGAATCGATTCATGGAACGCTTTTCCATTACGCTTTCAATGATATCCTGCGTCGTTGCGGACGATGTAGCGGACGAAAATTTCATCACAAGCACATTAAACTCATCACAAAGTGCCTCGATTTCTCTGTTGATTACAGTGGTCTTTCCTACACCAGTTTCGCCGACTAGCAAAGTGTTGATCCCTGCTGCGAGCATCGTTTGAAGGAGAAACCCATATCTTAATGTATCGATCGTAGGTATGATTATGTTGTGAAAAGGTGTGTTTGGTGCGATCTTAAAGTTTTGCGGTAGCTTTTCATCCCAAAGCTTAAACTCTCGACTTGATGGCTCAACGAAGAAGTCGTACACTGTCTTGACAGGAGGGTAAATTGAGTCTATATCGCGCAAGCAGATATCGAATTTTTTGCGCCCTTCTTCATTTGCAGAGGCCAAAACACTCCAAGTCAAACAAAAGAGGAAATACTTTTCAATTGTGAGTGCAAATTTGTCTCCACATGCGGCTGGAGTCAAACCATTTTCAGCAGTAACGAGGGCTCTGTACAGGTTACAAAAGGACATCACACTATTCAAGGTTGTAACTGATATTAGTTCTGTGACCTCCGAGGCTTTAAAGCGCAGCACTTTTTCCAAGTACTTATCAAGTAATGCTTGAAGCAGAACCTTCTCTTCTTGATGTTTGATCGTTGTGGCCAGCCAGGTTTGGATTATAGGGCGCCAACCGAGGTTTTCAACATCCATGTAAATCATGCCAGCACGACTTACTGTTGCGGGGGAAGCCACCGCAAGATTCTGGACTTCGAACATAAGTGCCATTGATGGGCTCATACTGATTCGGTTTCCATTAATCAAAGTAAGAACTTTATTATCATCCATAACACTATTCATACTCTCGATCCAAAGTGTATCAACAGGTCCATCCAGCATGATCCATTTCTCTTCAGCTTTATCATCTGCTGCCAAGTTTCTAAAAATGGCGGATAAAATGCCATCAATCCACTCAAACGTTGATAGATCGTACACGCCGTAGATTTCGTTCAAAGATATGGACTTGGGATTCAGCACGTGAACACGGACAGGCAAGTATCCAATGACCCCTTCGGTTGCTAGCAAAGTTTTGGCAGCCATAAGAGTCTTCCAGATCGTCGACTTTCCTGCCATAGTCTGACCAACAATCATGTTACAATGGCGAGTCACCTGAGATTCGTACAATTGGATCGTCTTGAACACGATTGCAGAGTGAACTTGTAAATTGTGCTCTACCAGAGCATGTTCGATATAACCTTGCAATCTGCCGTAATCTGTCACGGGGATTTCAATCGAAGGAAACAAATCTCCCAATAACAATTCAAAAAGCACGGAGTCCTCCGACACAAATTTAGGCAAATTCATATCACGAAGGGCACGAAATAAAATGTTTTCTTCTTGCAAATTCGGGTCTTCGCGCTTTAACGTGCCTGCCATATTTAAGACAGCTTTTAAGCTACGCAAACCAAAGTCATAATGATCCTGCTTGCTTAATTGCTGATTCATGAGTCCATACAATGTAGTAGTTTTCTTCGCCAAAATCTTTGCATCACGAAAGCCTTCAGCTTGGAGCATCACTTCAGCAATCAGTGCAAGATCTGGCACCATCATGGCACATGGTCGCATCAGAGCTTTAAGATTGTCCGGGAGCTCAGATCTCCCTGCGTACCCCGGGTTCATGGTGATAAAAATTCCCATATTAGAATTGACTCGCATCATGGAACCAAGAAACATGACTTGTGTATTCTTGGCAGCCAGGGCTTGCATGATAGTCAGAACTTGCTGAGCGACTACAGAGAGTACTTCAACTTCAATACGGTTGAATTCGTCGAAGCAACCCCAGCCACCGGACTGAACCAGGCCAGCAAACATACGTCCGACAGACTTGTAATCGAGACCATCACTGCAGTTAAAAACGATAACGTACTTCGCCAAATTCTTGCCTAAATCTTTAACTGTCTCTGTTTTTCCTGTCCCGGCTGGGCCGAGCGGGTTGCCTCCTCGGTTCAAATGTAATGCAGTAGTCATGGTGAGAACACACCGATCAGTTAGCGGAGTAATGACAAGGCGCCCATTATTGCCCTGATATTCGTACGAGTACTGCAATGAAGTAACCGTCTGCTTCACCTCACAAATACCCGAATCACCTAGATCCTTGTTAAAGTAGAAGCGGAGTTGCATCAGCCAGTCAAAGTCATTCACACTTTCGCAAATCTGCTTGATCAAGCGATCAATGACATCTCGCGAATGGATCTCAGTTGTGATCACAGCAACGACTTTACGGCGTTCAGTTGCTGAGAGCTGGCCACGCACCATGTCAGCGAGCTTGTTTAGGTAAGAGATCCATTTCTTTTTCAATTGCTTAAGTGCCTTCCTTTCTCCTGAAGCCACCTCGTTCAGTGCTTTGATGCACTCATTAGTCCAGACTGTTTGACCACATGTGATCAAAAGCTGACCTGGAAAGTCTTTTATCCACTTTTCCTTCTTGCCCTTATAACCAGTAAAACATTGTGCAAAAATCTTTTCCAGCGTGGTGACCATGGCAGCCTCAACTCGCAGTAGCCAGGTTTCAACAGCACCAGCGATCACAACATTCGACGCAAACATCACCTGCTCGCCGCATGGTGAGATCATTCCTGAAGCCTCAAAGGATTGATTTCCACGCGTTCCAGGAGGGATTAAGCTGAGAGTTTTGATGGCCTCGAAGCATTTCTTAATATGCTTTTGCACTTGGTCTGGGTCTTTTTGATGGCCTAAAATTTCAAGCAGATCGTCATTTGACAAAAAATAAAAGCGAGGGAACAGTATCCTTTTTGTCTCCAAATACTGGTTCAAACACTTTTGAATCCGATCTAATTTCTCCTGCATAGCAACCATAGTCTCTAAAACACCCGGTTCCTGCGTAGCTTTCAATGCATTTTTCACCTTTGCTATTTCATCTGTCACTCGACAATAAGCACTATTAACCTCGTCGAAGAGAAGACTTTCCAGTGGCAACTGCTTTCGAATATCCTCAGATGCCATGAATATGCTCTCCAAATACATCCAAGATCGCTGCACACTAAGTAATGTTTCAATGACGTCGGACAGGTGCGAAAGAGTCTTTTCCCAGTACCTTATTTGCGTACCAAAAGACTCAAAAAATGGTGAGGCCTTCATCGCCGATAATTGCACTTGGTCATCTTCAAGTGCTGTAAATAAGTCATCTGCCGATCGAATTTTATGATATGTTCCCTTGTAGTCTGTGATGTCGACGTCAATTGCAGCCCAACGCCTCTCGATCGCGTCTAAATTTTGCTCAATAGATAGCTCTTTGCCCGCAATACTCGACAGCGTGCTAATGAAGTCCGCATACACATGAAATTTGAGAGAAAATACGCGCTCCAAGGTAAAACTAGCAGACTCCGTATCGAACGTCTTTCCCATTTCATCCTTCAGCTGAGCCCAATGACGTGCTCGAAGTGCAGGGCTTTTTAAATCTTGGATCAAAGGCAGAGTATGCCGAAATTGCTCAATGTTATTTTTTAAAGAGCTCCAAACGTGCCAGTCCGTCATCTCTTTGCGATATTTAAGTACCTTTTTATAAAATTGGGCAGCCGTTGACTCCATCGTATCGACTTCAATATTGTAAAACACTGTATTTTTCCATGAAGCCCATACGACCTCCCATTCGTCAGTTAGAGTCCAGATCTGCTGTAAAAGCTCAAGGTCCTTTTCTGTCTGAACAAACCCGTCGTTTTTGAATTCTTCAATATTGAAAATCTTTAGCCCTTTTCTTAGCGTATCTTGGCGAGAGCGTGCCGACTCCATTTTCTTTTGAAAGTCAGCAAGGATCTGATGTGCTCTTTTCGTTTGCTGCTCACCAGAATAAGGAAGGGTTGCTTCGGCTTCAGCGCGTAAGTCGGTCATGATGCTATTTAAGTCAGCCACGGAATCCTGCACACTTTGCTTCATGCTAACTTTGCATTTATGCAGCATTGTTGTCGCATCCAGCAATATCGCCTCATATGCCTCCCAGTTGGATTTCAAATTATTTAAGTCTCGTTGCTCTTCTTCGGTTACCTGGACATCAAATTCAGCCAGCAGATCATACTTGTGCTGTAATGGCTCAAATCGAGACACAATCCCAGGCATACTTTCCTTGACGTATTGTAAAAGATGAAGGCTTTGGCTCAGATGATCCATATCTACGGGCTTGCTCTGTAACTTTTGCGTGTTATCCTTCATCATATTCATGATCTCTTTCAACTCGCCGCGGGCTGTCTGATTTAGCAGACCCGTTAACTTACCAATCCACTGTACCGTATGCTCAACTAAACTAGCCTTAAGAAAGTTCGTATCTATTTGAATGAAATTGATGGTGTTCGTCAGATCCTCGTTTTGGATTCCTATCTGCTGCTCACGGTAACGCTCGATGTCTGCTCGGAATTGCTGCAATGGTCGGTTTGCTTTTGCATATCGACGAATAAAAGCTTGTTTGTCTTGATTCCAAATCAGTTTGTACTTATCCCAATACCCTAAGTACTTCTGTAATTCGGTGGCACTGGACGACATACCATTCATAATATGCACAAGAACTTTAAGAATCTCCTCGTCATTAAAAATGGACTGATGAAAGTTATTTCCATCCGTAGAGACGCTCAGCTTTGTTGGATAATAAACTCTCGAGTAAGCCTTGTCCTTGTTACTGGTAAATTCTTCACCAACGTTGGTCATCGCGCAGACCTCGCCATCACTTTTCACAGCAGCAGGGTGGTTTTCGTCCGCAGAAGCACATGAACCACTAAGAACTTCCGCATTAGTATTAGTGCTGTCACTTTGCTGTTGCGGGAGCGAAGTTACCAAGCGGGGCACAACAGAAATCACGTTAAACATTTCCTTCGCCACCATGTTTACCATTTGAGTGAGATCAGCCATGAACGGCCTAAATTCCACCTTGTTGTCTTCAAGCACGACATGAATTCGGAACAAAGGTCTTGGATCAGTTTTGGCATCACCATTTATTGCTTTCGACAGCTCCTGAAGTGATTTCTTCACGGACTGCCGAAGCGCGTCTTCTAGCATTTTATCCGAACGTTCCGCAAATCGATTCCACTCCCGTCGCACTTCAGGAGGACCAGAGGCGAAATGTTCATACGTTGCTGTCATCGTAGAGCTAATTCTTTGATATGCTTCACGTAATTGCTTCTTGGTTTCCTCTCGATGTAAAATCTGCTTTGCTTCGAATACACCATCATCATAAATAGTGTTACGCTCGATGAAGATATGAATAAAGCCGCTAATCATTCTGCAGTTTTCTATCACAACATTCTTGTTTTCCTGAAAATCTTGGACAATCTTGTATGTGCTTTCACAGTGTTTACGGCAGTCTGCAACAAACCACTCAACAACTCCTCTGGAGACCCATGTGAGCTTCTGTAGCCCAGGTTGGATCCGGCGGTCAAGTTTGCGGATAATGTCTTGGAACAATCTTCGTTCAGTGGACGAAAGATCCAGCAAGATGCGATTATAGTCTCGGACTACTAGCATCACATGTTCGCGGAGCACGCGCAGCTGTTCTTTCTGGTTACAGATGTCATGTGCCATGTAGGGGATCTGAACTTCGCCATTAAAGTACTGCCAATACTGAGCCTCCGCAAACAAGTTGAGCAAAAAACGGTCAAAGTTGCATTGAAGCAGTCCTTTTTTCTCTCGTCCAATCAGTGTATTTTCTGTATCATGAGGCATTTTGATATCCTTATTGTGAGACTTAAGATTCACGATGGGAGGCACAACGGTAGCATCAGATCCAGCTTTTGTCATTAAAGGGATTTCCAATCGTGCATTTGTGTTTCCTATTGCATTCAAACTTTCAATCCAATCGTGATACTTGCGCTGAATGTATTCGTTGACAACCAGTCGCAATCCATCGTAGGCGCTCTGAGCTTCATCACACTCAGCTGTATTACAAGGGTCAGCTAATTCTTGCAATCGCATAAGGTCGTCAGTCACACGCAATAGTAAGCTTCGTGCCCATAATGCTGCACCAGAAAACTGAGGCTCTGTAGGTGACAGTTGGGGCACCTGCTTGTTTTTTTCAAAAAAATTACGAATTGACAGAATATTTGTCTTAAACATATCAATGATATCGATCATGCGCTTTTCGATGCACCGTTTGATTGCCTCGCGCTTAGCAATTCTTTTAAATGACTGAATCATATCTACTCCAGCAGCAACTGTAGATATGCTTTCGAATGCTCCAATAATCACATTTTGGGTCATTGCCTCAAGATCTTTCATTCCGTTCTTAAAAAAATTGAAATCGCTGTGCCAGCTAGTGTTTTTGACGTCCAAAACATTATAGTTCAGCAGGCGAAGCCGATCAATGTGCCTTTCAAACTGTGCTTCAATGCCATTTAGACTTCTCACAATGTCCATACTACGAGTCCCTCCAAATGCAGGAAGAGCTTCTTGTGCACCTCCGCTAATCTTGCGTCCAAACTGAACCTGACCTTCGCATACTTCCAGTAATTCACGGCAACGCTGTACAAATGCGTCAATCTGCGCAAAAATCCCCGTTTCATCAAAGTTCCATTGACGGTCAGAGTTTGAAGCAGTCCTGTTTACAGCCTCGGACGTTTTGCGATAAACTTGTTTCCAAGATACCCCACACTGAATGCTCTTGTCAAGATAGTGTATACAGGCCTCAACATTACCATCTAATATGTCCGACACCGAAATTTTCTTGCAGCAAACATTGATGATCTCGTTGCTCACTTTGCGTAACAAACTTGTAATCCGGTCATCCGTATTGTAGTGGCTTGAGTACATCCAAATGAGGCGAATGAAGTTCAGCAGCTTCGGCAGCAATAAAGGAATCTCGTGAGGTTGCGCACTTGCAATTTCTTCACAGACAGGGACAAGCTTTCGCAAGAAACGAAGATTGTCATTTGCCTCAGTTGAGCCTTGCTTAATGATTTGGGAGAGCGTCTCAAAGGGTTGTAAGTACGACGACTTAGCGGCTCGTAAAATCTCTAAAATTTCGATCATTCCGTCGCGATTTAATTGATCAGTGATTCCTGAGAGATCCTCTGTTCGATGCTCCCAGAATTTAATCTCCTCTAGTGGGCCCGCACCCTCGTTCTCATGAACATTGTCCTGATTGTTGATGACCTCTTTTATCTGCCGCGTCCAGTGAATTACTATAGACTCTAATTGCTGCACAAAGTCTTTGTCTCTATGATTAATCTGCTTCAGGTTCACCGGCGGCAAATACAGCACAGTTTTGCCACAACCACGATTGACCGTCTCGGTTAAACTGGACATAAAGCGAAAAAAATGGCTTGTAAACTCTTTTTGCACACTTTCAGGCCACGACCAATTATCCTGCAGTCTCTGAAGATAGTAGCCGTCCATTCGATGCAGTAAAGATGCGATAACGTCCTTTTCGACCGTCCCAAATTGCAGAACGTTCTTTATGTTGGCAGGAGTCAAGATCGTCTGCCCATTTTTGACATAATACATCACGCTATCATATCCGCGCGGAGCTGTCGTTGTGACTGTGAGCGAGTCGTTATACATAGCCAGAAACAGCGCCGGTATGCCCTTATTCTCTGCAAACTGCTTGACCGTCGCTAGGTCGGCAGAGGCCCAGGCTTTTGGCTTATATCCGGGCAGTGTGATTCGATCGCGGATCCATTGCACAATAAGATCCACGTCGTCGAATGAGCTCATGGCAGTAAGTCGGAAGTCGTTAAGTGCGGCTGGATCCTCGGCCCAAAGGCCGCGAAGACAACCCGAGTGATGGTCATACTAGAATGTTACTGCAAGTTGGTGTTCCCGAAAAGTGGTACTTTAATTGGCATTGTGGAGCGGTGTGGCGACCCCCTGCTTAGCGAGTTTGCCGTCGCGATCTCCCCGCAAGCATGGCCAAAGGTCCGATAAGCGAGGAGCGTCAGGAGGAGCGACTAATCCAGGACCTGCGAGACTTTCAGCGCTCCATTCCAGCCAATAAACGCTGCTTTGATTGCAACGAGATGGTACGTAAAATGCAGTGCTCTTGGTTCAGCTGTTTCTTCACTTGTAATGACGTTGACTTGCTCTTCGTAACTACTAACAGATGCCCCAGTACGTCTGTTTGGACTTTAACACTTTCGTCTGCACTGCCTGTAGTGGTATACAGTGAGTGAATGCACTACTGCAATGCCTTAAAGCTCGTCATGATCTTTTTGCTGCTGTTGTGCCTATTGTGACTAGCCGCGAGTTTGCACACCGAGTTAAATCCATTTCTATGTCTAAATTCACCGAGAGCGAAGTTAAAAACATGATTAAACGCGGTGGTAACGAGGCAGCGCAAAAATTCTGGCGAAGCAAACACGATCCGAGCTTTCGTCCGAATGGAGGCACGGACGGCGAGCGCACGCGAAATTTTATTCGACTGACCTATATCGATCGCAAGTGCGATGAGTATATGACGTATTATACCGCCACAGCTAACATGTTATTATTTCTTAGGTGGGTGTATGGATCGGCAGATGAAGAAACGAAACAAACGTCAATGGTGAGTATCATCAATATTTTTTACATTGCAGTGTTGCATTTTGTTGATAGTGGCATGAATAAAACAACGTTTAGAAAAGCAGCAAGAAGGAGAGAAAGGCTGATAGTGGCAACATCTTGCGTAATTCAAGCCTTCAATCAACAAAGACTACTGAGTTTGCAGATTTCTCCAACTTCGATAACAGCAGCACATTGTCCACCACTGTAATACAATCTTTTGAAGATTTTAGCAGTTTTGACAGTCCAGCTCTTCCAAACACGACTGACGACTTTGGATCGTTAGGCGATTCTTCGAAATTGAGTAAGACAGCGAAATTAGTGACAGTGGACAAAATTCCAGTCCCGCAAGTCCCAAAGTTTGGCTCATTTAAAATTGCCCCACCTCCTGGATCAAACTTTTCTACGTCTAAGGCCAGCGTGCCGTCCGCAACGAATGATATAATGGGTTTGAGCACAAGGCAGAAACCCGATGATGACCTGTTTGGATTCAATCATACCGCGCTTGCACCTGATATTCTGAATCACGCGACTCCTGCATTGCCATCACCATCTATAGCTCATGAAGCCTCTGCACCGACCAGCCAACCCGACAACATGCAGAATGCTGCAGCAATACTCAATCCATTTACTGACGTGACGGCTGTCGTTCCATCAACAATAGCTTCAACTCAGCAAAACGCTTCGCTGTTTGACGCATTTGGCTCCCCATCTGCGCCATCGCCATCAGTCTTTGACGGCTTAGCTGCGATATCACCTGCGATAAACCCAGACAGAAATGTAACTGATGCATTCGGTGGATCTGGGGACGTTTTCGGGGCTTTTGCGGGCTCCAACAGCGCGAAAAGAACAGCTTCGTCCAATCCTGCAATGGATCCTTTTGCACGAAAGCCGGACTCGTCTGTATCTGTCTCCGCCGCCGATTCATTTCCAGCTTTCCTTGAAACGCTTCCAAGCACCAGCGGTGAAGCTTCTATATCCAATGTCGGGTCGTCAGACGCCTATCCAGCCGGCAACAGCTTCAGCCAACAGCATTGTGTAATGGCTGATCCATTTCAGTATGCAGGTGGTATGAGCAGTAGTAACAACGATGTGATGGCTGCCCAGCAACAATTTCGTGCTGGTAATGTGAACAACCCCCAATTCGGCGGCTTTAATGCTGGCTTCCCGCAACAATCAATGCCTTCCAACCTATATGGTAGTCAGGTGCAGCAGCAAACAGCACTTTACAGATCACCGCCACAACCAGAGCAGCACATATGGAATGGGCAGCAAGGTGGAATGTCTCGATTTCAGCATGCAAATCACTTAACAGCACTGCGGCCTCCGGGACAATTCCAAGCTCCTTTGGCCGAAAGTATCGCGCCTGCGTCAAGTTCAGTCAAGGTACGCATATACAGATTTATTAGCCAGTGCCCTAGATTACTAGTCGCTCATTGCTAGATATTATATTCACCAAATTGTGGCTGATGTGCAGATCTCGGGATCAAATGCTTCGGTGAATGACCCTTTTGCATCTCTCAATCTGAGCAATTTAGGATTCGGTAGCTCAAACAGCAAAGCAGAGGCATCGTGCACGAGCTGTGGGGGAGTGACTGGCTTGACGACTCAGGCACCCGCGAGTCAAAAGGGCTTCAACAGCTATCCTGGTAATACTCCGGCGACCTCTGTGTCTTCGGGGCCAAGCTCGAATGCGCAGTAAGATAGACCAAGTCAAATTAAAATGTATTTGTCAGAGCTGACTCCTGTTTTTTTAACAGATCTCAAGATCAAACGCCCACTTTCGCGTACCCTTTGCAAAACATACCCGCTGATATGAATGCGTAGGTTATCTACCATCGTCTACTTGGTGATTGCTTTAATGATAATGTCATGCAGGTTTGGCAACTTTGCAAGAGCGCCAACTCCAGTGCAGATGCCACCCTCGCCAGCTAACCCTTTTGACCTATTTTAGCGATGTTCATACGTGGGCGATTGTGTTGACAATAGAATTGAAGACCAATACAATGCATGCTTCTACGAATTGCAACACTTTGTTAAAAAGTTCGACTTGTGAATATATATTACATCTTTAAACTTTAGAGATGATAATTTTGCACACCTCAGACAATACGAACGCTCACAATTATTAGCGTGGCCGAAGTCTTCACGACATCAGGAGTGTGTGCAATTGCTTGAAAAAGACAAGGTTTATAGGGATGCTTCGTATCTCTCTCGATATAAATCAAGCTACGACGGTCCGAACATACTAAGCGAGGAAATGCTTAACGTCAACTGGCTCTACAAATGAGTAACATTAAGAGGGGACTCAATTCAAATATTATCAAACTTAACAAAAGCCATTAATTGCAGCTTTAAAAGACCTATATCTAATCCACATCGAGACATGAAGTCAACAGGTGAATAATTGTACATACTAGTAGGCGCAAAGCACAGATTTTGCAAAAATAGGATTGATTTTATGATATAATCACTCTTACGAATGCAATTAAGCTACTACTCCGGTTTTGTATCCTTTTTGAGTCTAGTTTCGATATGATTTGCAAAAATGTGCTAAAAGCGGTCGCGCTTCGCTGAATATTACCGAAATTAACAAGGAGAGGCGGTATCAAAGCAATACACTTCACATCTTGATTGCATTTGGACAATAACGGAGTCATATCGACTACATTGTTTCGATGATAAATATTTTTTTGCCAAACATGAGTTGATCGATGATAACCATTTACATACCAGAGGCTTAGGAAATCGAGAGGAAACGACAAATGCTGTAGCAGTTAACTACATGGGCAGATCAGAATGATGTTAAAGGAGGATTCCATGCTATAGGCAGACCAAAAGGAGATAATTGATTGCATAGAATCAATCTCACTTTTCGCAATGCATAACACAAAACCCGCCCGGACAGAAGAAAGCAGCACATTGCTGCAGTCAACCCAGTGACGGCGAAAGAGCACGATAAGGTCTATTTAAACACTAATTACGATCTCTTTCCTCGCAACGGCATCAAACCCCTGTAGTAAATTCCAACCACGCAACCTTATTCCTCTTCGATCTCAATGTTCGTCTTTTCCGACACGTAAATACCATCCAAGAACTTACGAATATCTTTACGGCGAACAAGACAGGCCTGCGTGATGTTAGCAGCATCCTGCGAGACCTTCTGGAGGTCAATGCCACTCAGCTCAATCTGGTCTTTAACATCGCTTGTGCGCACGTACTGGACACCCTCCGACAGAGTCACGCGACGTACTCGCTTTTCACCCAAAAAGTTACGAATTTCCACCACATTGTTTTCAAAAGTTACGTTAATGGGAAAGTGGGCGTACACAAAGCGCATCTTGTACAGATATCCAACACGCACACCCGTAATCATATTCTCAATCAGGGAGCAGACAGTCCGCACACAAGCTAGCTGCTTACGGTTACCAAACCACAGATCCACACGAAGTTGCTCCTTGTTGATACGACGCATGTCAAGCGTCAAGTGACGGAAGTCACGATTAAGTGTGCCACGTTTACCGGTAACAGTGACCTTTCGGCCGTCAAGCACTAGCTTGACGTCATCGGGAATGGTAACATAGCGGGTAGCTAAAAGCTGACGGGGCATCTTGCACGAGTTGTTAGAGGAATGCTAAGTGAATTTTAAGTGATGGTTTTTCTGGCCAGTTGAGTGGTGCAGAATGTCTCAACTTTTGGACTTGTAATATGTATGAAGCAGATTGATGTGGAGGACTTATGTTTGACACCTAACGTTTACACCATTTGCCACAAAAATGTTCGACGGAAGTCCTGAGGTGCAGGAGACGCTGGGTAAGGCTTCAAAGCGACTGCTGGATCAGGAAGGATAAGGGATTGTTTTTCTGACATCGTATGAGATAGATAAAGCCAAAGGAGCCATCAAGCATATGTTGATTGGTGCTTCTATGGCCGGAACTATGGGAGCTTCATTAGGTGCGGTCCTGGCGGTGCTGCGTAATGAAAGTGTAAAGTTTTACGCCGCATCGATGGGCTCCAACTTTTTTATGTTGTCCTCAACGTATATCGGTAAATTTATTTGAGTTTGCAACTACATACGTTAAGATGAGAATGGTTGTTTATGGTTCGTATCTATGTCCTGCTCAGCTTTTGAAGAGGTGATTGCAGACAAGAGGAATGACAAGAAAGATTGGATCACTGGTGCTGCCGCTGGGGCTGTCACTGGTGGATTCTACGCCGGTTTAGTTGGTAAGCTAGAAGGAACTTCTTGACTTTGGAGCAAATGCTATGCTTGGAAACTTGAAAAAGGAAGTAGCATGACTGACATGTTTTATTACTAATCAGGAGGGCATTTTCGAGGCCTTCAAGGTGCTGCTGCTGGAGCAGCAGCAGGTGCACTGGTAATATTTGGTCGTGAGGAGTTTCACAATTGGCGCCTGTCCAAGGGAGTGCAGCGCTATGAGGCCAAACACGGCGCGGCCCCTGCAGTTTACCATCCGATAACTGCTGCGCTCGTGGAAAGTCAAGGCCCGCCGCGCGAACTAGTATTTCCGTCCCTGTTGCCCCAGAGTATAAAGATTTCGAAAAAAGAAATTGAGCACCGCATCGGAATTCGGATGAGTGAGCTTCGGAAGGAGATGCTAGACAATAAAGAAGATGTGGTCCTTGATAAAGAGAATTAATTATGTGTAATTTGAAATGTGGTACTTGCTGACGCAAATATTAACTGGCACAACCTATTTGAAGAGACATATAACTAAAACAATATGTGGAAACCGTAGTATGGTGTAGTGCACATTACACTATTGTGCCAAATCTTACAGTACAGAAGATTTTAATATTGAACATAGTAGAGATAAATGTTTCGTATTGATGTGCTTCAGACATGATATTAAGTATATCTGTAACGGGGGGGTGTCACACGAGATGTGCATGGTGTGACCACACCCAAACAAGAATACGGTACGGGGCTAGGTAGCCAGAGTTATGTCATGTGTTGAGATTTTACTGTATATATTTAGTATATGTAGGAAAATATAATCTTTTAGAATTAGGATGATAAAAGATATAAAAATCAGCTTTGAATTTAAACCAAAGAGTAAATTAGCCTTGGGAAGGCAATAATTACTTTTGGAGTAAGCGTTCTTGTAAAGAACGAAAGGTCGTTGACCTAAAAT